GATAGAAGACCTGATTTAAGTTGCCAGATTTATTCCCGTGAACTGGTCAATTAGATTACTTACTTCCTCAGTGCGACACTAATCGTTACTTGGTGCTAGAACCACTCAACCAATTACATATTTGAAAGGTTCGGCTAGCTACTTATAATTTCTCTTCTCGTGTGATGAGTCCTGTTCAAACGGATTCAAAATAACAAATATATGTAGGTACAGGAAGAAAATAAATACCAGCTCTTAAAATTGAGTATGTCTCATTAATGGTAGGGTCAATTGAACACTTAATTTATTTGAATAAAGCTTCACATGTGTGATGCTTCACTCATGATTAAGTACCCTTCACTCCTCTCCAACCAATCAAGTGGCTTTCGCTCCTTGCCTGTTTTTTTCTTCTGTAAGACATCCCTAGAATGGAAAGCCAATCTTCTTTCGGGTGCAAAGAAAGATTGGGAAACTGTAAGGTCTCATAGACTAAATCATTAAATAAGTCTAGCTGATCGATATGAGATTAATCGTGGACTTGGTTGCGAAGTAAGCCCTACCTAAGTAACCCACATGTTCTGTATAATTTACTAATCAACTTGAAATGTGAAAGTCGCCTAGATATTGGAATTGGGACAAGCTAGTCGAGCTACGGAATGTCGTAGCTTGATTATGTACTTTCTTTTTCACTAATCCTACATCCCTTCATGATGGTGGGTATCTCACGAAGCTAGGCCTAGGGTGGTTTTGGACTGATTCTGGATGGGTGTAGGTTCACAACTTCCCCGAGCCCAAAACTCAAATTAATTCGATTAAATCTCACAAATATATTGATGGAGTTTAATAGATCTATCAAATAGGAAAAGAAAGAGAGTTAGCCACTCATGATGGGTTCTTCAATACAAAAGAGTTTTTGGGGGTTAAAAGAGATAAGAGATATGAAGAAGAAAAAATACGACAGCAGGGAAATCTGCTTTGTGCGACATTGAGTCGAAGGAAGATGATGGTTTTGCTTGACAACCCATTTTTTATATCCTAAAAAGGCTAGAGTTTCCTTATTTTCTCGATTTGTAAATTTTCCTTGATTCTTGGCACACCCCTAGCTTTCCAGATTGATCTTCATGATTTTCTGTCAACAAATCTTGGTCTGAATATGATCTGTTTTGATTTTGAACATGCACTCTTTTTCTTTTTAAATTGACTATTGCGCACAGCTCTTAGCTTTACCCAAGTTTAAGTTGTCTGGTTTAGGACCCAAGCCTTACCCAATGCTTGTTTCTGGACTGATGACTCTTTTAACGAACTATTCATCTTTTCATATTATTTTTTCTCCTTTCGTTCTTATATCCTATCGTGCAACAAAATATACAAAATAGCTCGAATTAAATTGCATACCATCAAGTTTAATAACTCAAAAGTGGGTAATAATGATGTCATTTTTAGGCAGTACCAAACTCCCCCACACTTATCTTGTGTTTGCCCTCAATCACTACACAATATACTCCATCAATCCCCATCTTTTCACCTTCAACTCGCTTACTCCTGGTCATTTCATCACAACCTGCATGTTACACCTCAACCCTTAAATTGTAAGAATAACCATCAACTAGTAATTTGTAGGCTTGAGTTTCATGGAACCATACTAATGAATAACCCACTTTGACCACATCAAAACACAATATGAGAGAGTTTTGCAAATTTAGCACACAAAAATTTTATTAAGGGGAATAGACAATACCTAGTAGAACAACCACCAAACCTATCCACATATATAAAGATTCATGCAATTGGTTCATGCCAAAATAGAAAAACTTGAGCAATTTTTTCTTGCTTGAAATGTTACGAACCTTTTGATGCGAGAGCAAACATTTGTGATGGATGCACCTGGTTACTCAGTTGAACATAGTTTCAAGTGGCTCCTAACACTACTCGTAGTCATTTGATTAGAGGACTGGATTATTATTCGTGCTCTTTGTTTTTTCACTTTGAGTATGTTTTATCCTCCATCTCACACTTTTACTCCAACTATTTTTTTA